CATCTGCTGGCTTATGGGGTTACATATACACTAAACAAACACACGTGCACACTTGCAGACACATGTGAACTCATACACATTGGGTGTTATAATGTTGTTTGTATCTTCTTCATCATGCATATTGATTTTAACTTTTTACACCCTAGAAGGTTTATTCATGCATCTTGCTATAGCTGGCAAGGAAATGCAATAAGTTCAAGTGTTTTAACAGGCAGTCTGAAAGCCACCTTTGTCCATCCATACATCCATCCATTTTCTGCCGCTTTGCAGGCTGCAGTGATAGCAATCTATCCCAAGAAGCCAAGCCCTCCATCTCCCTGCCCATCTCTTCCAGGGAACACTGAGGAGTTCTGCAGCCAGCCAAGAACCAACCTAGTCTGATGCTCAATCCAACTTAACTGGCTCCTTTTGATGTGGAGGAGTAAGAGTCCCTCCTGAATGACCAAACTCCTCACCCTGTCGTCAAGGGAAAGCTCATTTACAGCACTTGTATTTGCAGTCTCACTCTGTCACTACCCAGAGCTTATGGTCATAGATCAGAGCATGAACACAGACTGACTGGTAAATCATCAGTTTTGCTTCCATGCTCAGCTCTCTTTTCACCACAACAGACCGATACAGCGTCCGTATCACTGCAGATGGCTGCCCCTCCCTGAGGTTGTTTCTGCTGAACATTTCTTCCAGTTAAAAGGGAGTTTTTCCTTGCCACTGTCGCCAAGTGCTTGCTAATAGTGGTCTGATTGTTGGCATTTTCTCTGTATTATTGTAGAGTTTTTACCTTACAATATAAAAAGCCTTGAGGCAGACTGCTGTTGGGATTTGGCTATTTCAACAATTATTCCAGGATGAGCTTGTCAATATATAGATATAAACATAGATATAGATATAAAATATGAAATTCTGCACTCATGACATGCCATGTCTTTGGTGTTAGCAAAATGGCAGAAAATTTGAGCATATCTGTATAAAAAAAACACAAGGTTTGATTATCTCATTAGCAAAGTTGTCAGGAAAATATAAAATACATAAATCTAACGGTGCCTTCAGTGTTCTTGAAGGACCAACTTCAGTTAATCCCATGCAAGCTGCTGTTCTCTTATTCTGCCTACACACAACCACCATTCACCTTCATTTTCATATTGATGTAAAGTGAAGGAGCCCTCACATCAAGCTCATCGGAGCTTTCATACATTCTGAATTGGGCACTACAGGAAATAGATGCCCTCAGTCTTCTGTGTTCATGCAGCTGATGACACAGCTTTTAACAAGTGAAGCTAAAGCTGCTGCACTGCTCCACTTTGGCCCTCTCAAGGATTCCATTTCTAAAAGGAACACTCAAGTAATGTGGCAAGTCATTTTGACAATCATGAAAGGTAGCACTAACAAGTGCAGGCTGCTGATAAAGGAAGGCTGCAGTGAGAGACTCTAGTGAAGTGAGGGGATGGGGAACTAGTTCCAAAGAAAACCAGCCAACCATGAAATGCCGAACCTTTACACTTGAGAGATGGCAACAGACTGTATTAGCAAGACTGAAACATGACAACAAAATCAGGAGTTGCATTCTGCGGCACCACAATTTCATCATGTATAACAAAAAAAACTATATAATCCAACACTCCCTTGTTTGCTTTTAGGGATTTAGTATGCTAGTCCCTGCAGAATAATTAATGATTTATGTTTTATCTCATTTGAATGTGTCTGTTTTTGCACCAGGAGCTCTATTACAGTCATCTGGAGACTTTCAGCAATCCTGTTTCTGCTATCTTCCACCAGTACAACAAGTTGGGAGAATTGCTCTGCTGTTATTACATTTCGAAAGTATCCCTGATCCAGGGAGGAGCCTGGAGGAGAAATTAGCCAGGAGTTTATTGGCTCAGATACAAAAGGAGCAGATTGAAAAGGGGGTGAGATGATTGAACTCTTCTTTATTCCATGGTGTGTCCTTTGTGCCAGGCTGTGCAGTCACTTTGATGTTATCTCTGTCATTTGAGCTCCATACTGCGCCTTGGGTGCCTCACACAAAAGAATATGATGCACCACCAGAGGCCATGAATGGGCTTCCCATCTATTTTCTGCAAGAGGGGAACTCTCCTTTTGAGCCGCCTCGAGTGTCACTCATTATCAAAGTATATCATTGCAGTAAAAGCCTCAGAAATGCATTTAATATGTAAAAGAATACTGTACAACTGGCCAAGTGAATACTGATTAATTAAACTAACCTCGCTTCAGGGAACTTACTAAAGAACACTTTTTTCCAATAACAACAGCTTGTTTTTCACTGTTGTTCAGTGTCCTGTGTTTGTCTCCAATCAGCATGTTTTTGTGCATTATCATAACCATCAAAGAAGCTTCTGAAAATGTGAGTGCACTAAAATCAAATACGCCTAATCGGTAGGAAAAGGTCGACTGTCAGATTGTCGCTTGTGAAGGAACACCGTGATAATGGGAGGAACGCTGCACCTTTCTTTCAAAAGGAGAAGAGCAGCGGCAGAAAGGAGGGGGTGGTGAAGATGGAGGAGGATGAAGAACATCTTACTGAGCTGCCATTAGTGGTCTAATTCACACACTAAGAATCAAAAAGAGACCTTTGAGTGGGTGGTTGGATTGTTGAGGGCCGATCAGAACCTCCATTAGCACAGAAATAAGCTGCAAATGGAACAGAGGAGCTGCGTGAAAAAAAGAGAAGGGCCAACGGTGTTGAAGGAACACAGTGCTCCGGCCAGGCAGAGCCAGACCCACTTCACAGCACTTCTGCTCAGCTAAACATGTCAAGAAGCTGAAAGATAAAATACCAACCACACAGAGGGACGAGAAACTCAAAGCTAATTCGCATTCTTCTTACAGGTTCTTATTACTGTAGGTTAGAATCCCAAGCACTGACAAACTGCATCTATATTACAGTGAAGCTTTGTTTATTGAGCTGTGAAAAAAGTGTCACAGCTCCTCCATGACTGAACTAAAATTGGTTGCTATCTCCTTTAAGGATGTCTCCTTGAGAAGCAATGGACTACTCCAAGCTTTCCTGCTGAACTTGGATCACTGCTTTGATGACTGCTATTGTGTCAAAACATACACAGCTTGATTTGCAAAGTTCTAAATATGCTGATTAGTGAGTGAGGAGTCAGTGAAGACTGTGTTGGTCTTACCAAAAAAACTGCCGTGAGCAGAGACTCGATGGCACGCTAGCATGTATCGAAGTCTGGTCATTAGTGGCAAATGTCCTCTTTCACACTTTTCACTAAATTACAACAGAACTCTATGCTGAGAATCTCACCCTCAGGGGCAAATTTATGAATCGCAGTTTCAGTGTTATACTCTAGACTTGATTTGAGTCACTGTCAGAGGATATGGTGGATGAGCAAGACTGGATGCACCGCTTTAAGGTTTGGAAACTGAACGGCTCCGACTCAGAAACCTGATGACGCAGAAAAATACCAGCGATGATTCTTGGGAGGAAAGTTGTTAGTTTGTTGCATATTAGTGTTTGAGGTCTATGGTGAAATGGCAACTTCACATGTGCAAGTTATGAGAAGAGGACTTTCAAAGGACTATACAGAACAGCAAGAGCACTGGAAGAAGTTAAGCACTGCAAAAGAGTTGGTCAGATTGAAATTGGTACAGGTTTTGAATTTCCTGGATGGATTTCTGGAATGTTTTTGAGCACATCTCATGTATTCTTATATTTACACAACTGCTGTGCTCAAAGTCTACTTTTATGCCGGTTTAATGCAATATCATTCTGTGAACTGGAGCACATGCAAAAGAATTGAAAATGTATAAATGTGCAATCTGTGTAAGTATATGAAGAAAAAAAACATCTCAATAAGAACAAGTGTCTTAATTAAAGTATGTGTTTACACGAGAAAAGGGCTGCCTGCATTTAACGAATTGTGGAATCGTGTCTTTTTGTGTGTTCTGATAGTTAGCACGGTTTCATTTATAATCCCTACTGTGCAATTCTATAACAAGAGCCACAGGATTCTAGGTCAATCCTCTCAAATGAATTTCATTTTTTGGCCTAAGTCAAGCAGTGATTAAGCAGACGGGAATCCTACTATATACTTGAAGAATGCTCGTGCATGGTACAGTAAGAGAAGTAGCCTCTGTAAACCTCTACGGTAATGAATGAGGGAAAAAAAAGGCAATTCCCGGTCTGTGCTCTGAGCATTAGGAACATGTGCACAGCAGGAGGTGACGAGACAATGATTCTGATGGATATCCCTGTCCAGCAGAGAGTCACTCCTCCCAATGTTCTTTCTGCTGATTGATTTGAGTGACTGGGAGAGGACAGAGCGGACTGGGTGAGGTCTTATCACTCCCTTGGCTGCCTAACCTGCCGGGCCCATGTTGTTTTGAAGAGAGGCCGTCAATAATAGTGGGTGACTGTGTAGTGAAAAACAATGGCTGCTCTTCAGATGTCCTCACTCTAATAAATAACGCTGTAGCTATGAATGTTGAATATGTAGCATAGGTTTATGAATGCCGTGCTAAACATTTCAATGTGCCACATGACAAAATATATCCTGTAATTTAGCATTTTAGACCGACAGAGGTAAAAAAGATAAACACTTTGTTTTTTTGGGGTTTTTTATCCTGAGCATCCTGACCGTTGTCATCAGATGTCAATTCATATAGACTGACAAGTCGCAAGGCATTTAAGCTGATGAATAAAAATTGGACTGCATAAATTTCTGCTTAATGGGATCCCTGAGCTTCACGGAAATGCAATTATCCTGTTGCAAATGTGGTATTGCAAATATTGGAGACATGGTCAAAGCCCCCTTACTGAAAATGGAGTCTGCCTTAATGTCAAAACTGATGATTTTATATGCATACAGCTGTACACAGGTACAAAACATAAACAGATGCCACACATAGAAACATTTTCAGCATTATGCTTCATTTTGTGTTATGCAGGAACAAAACAGGTGTCTTACTGAAAGCCGTGCAGAATAGAATAGAATAGAATAGAATAGAATAGAATAGAATAGAATGCTCACTGATGTGTACAGGTGGCCCTCCCCGTTCATTGCGATGTATAACCCTGTCTTCACGGATTGAATGGCGACAACTCTGAGGCCCACAGGAATAAGGTTGAACAAAGCTGGGGAACACACACGTAAAACAAGCAAACACAAACATTCATCAAAATCTCACCAAAAAATATTGAAACAGACAAACCAAACATTAAGTAAACTTTAACTAGATGGGGGTAAAACATTTAAGTAACAATCCATCATCTAAACACAAGATGTCTATCTTTAAGGCGTTGCAAACTATGGATAATACAACTGCTGACTGCTGCATTTAGGTAATCTCAGAAGATGAATTGCAGCACAGCTGGTGGACGTGACTAGCCTAGCGCAGCCTTGGCCACTCAGTGCTACCTGAGAAGCAGTTGTAATTGGGGCCACCGCTAGTGCAAGGCTGATTTAATAACACCCTTGTTGTTGTAGCAGACTCGTGGTAGGTAATGGGTATTGTTTGTATGGGGGAGAAACAAGAGGACTGGCCTGGCTGGGACATTAGGTGTGTATTTGGGAGACATGCACTAAAGGGATGCAATGAACTCAGCTGACCCTGCAAGCAACTGGAAAGGGCAGGCTTGCATCCTAGAAGAAAATCTGAGAGAACTAAATGCAGAACCACTCATTTCCTTTCCTTTTTGATGGCTTGCGGTCAGTTTCAACTGCCGACACCTAATTTGATCCTGGAGTTAAAATGACACGCTATCTATAATGCTTACCGTTTCAATAAGTCCCTTCAGCCTACCGCATGTGACATGTGCCACATCTCTTCCTGCTGACAGGAGTAAGTGACACAATGCAGAGTGTCAGGCTAGCATTAGCACCAAGCACTGGAATCAAATTAACCACCTAGCCTGAAGTGTTAGAGGAGCAGTGCCAGAACAAGCTAATAATACCTTTTTCTCTCTGTTGAGCCTACTGTTTCCTGGTCCACTTTGCCTCTCGGGAAAAGGACCAAACTGTGTGATCCCATGGCTCCATTTAAGAGCCATTTTTGCTCCAAAGATCAAAAATACTGACCAGACATTAGCAGAGGGTGACTGCTTGGTTAATTTTTTTGTATAAGAAGAATAAATATGGAGCAGGAAACAAGCCAGACATAAAATTGTGCTCAAGAAACCTACACAGGGTAAACTTTTCTATAACCTCTGCTAGTATTTCTTTAGATTATTCCAGACACCTGTTAAAAATCTGATCTACAAGTCCAAGAGATATTTCAAGGTACTCACAGGAATTACTGCTGTCATCCTTGGTCCCATCAAGAGAGCCATCGGGGTTCATTTGCAAGTAGTATCCCTGCCTGCAATATAACCTGGTCACTATACCCTTGAGCTGGGGATCTGAAGGAAAGGGGGGGGGGGGGAAAGAGAAAGAACAGAGAATAGTTAGAATAAACTTCAAGAATGCAACTTTTTTGATTTAATACACAACAAAAAGAAAATTGTTTTCACGGGGACTTTATGGCAAAACACCGAGACACACACAAAGTATTGCAGCTGGTGGTTTTTCACAAGCAAATCCCCAAGCCACCTTTCTGGCACATAAGCCCCATCCTGCTCAGAGATAGTCCATCCAATTATAGCTAGCAGAATTAATCTGTGGTTGCCTGACTCCCATAATGAACCCAATAGCACCCTCTCTGGGTTCTTCGTATGTAGGATGTGAGAGTGTCTGCGTGCCGTCCCTTCTAGCTGCCCCGACAGGGGAATTAGCCGCATATCTACTGTAAATAAATCACTGCTGTTTAATTGCCCAGAGCCGCTGCAGCTCAGCGAGTCGTATTGTAATTTAGTTGGCATTTTGTCAGTTTGCAATAACATGACAAAAAGTGAAAGTGAAATGTAAAAAGTAAAAAGCAGTACAACACAGAAAAGGACACATTTTAATAAACCTGCGTGCGGGTGCACACTGGGACATCTCTGGAAAAAAATATTGCTTGCTCTCAAGCTGCGCTGTGATATTTCTTCATCTGTGTGCTTTTGTGTACCTGCGCGTCTGAGGTCATATACTATCAACATTAGACTTATTGTAGAGACAGCCATCACACCAAATTTCATTCTAAGAAAACCCTAGGGAGGTGAAGAATCAACTTCACCTGAGTCCTTGCATGCTACTCGGTGTGTGTGTTGGTGGGTGAGTACAGTTATGTGGAAGAGATATAGAAAGAAACAAAGAGAGGCCGCAGAGGAGAGCTCCAGAGGTCTTGCTGAGGGCAGCATCGGGCTTTTCCCCCCCGTTACTGTGCGGCTCGGGGCATTCTCCTCTGAAATGGTTCTTTCAGTTGATGGCATTAGCCAGCTCTGAGACCTTTCCCCGCTCCCTGAAAGGGAGAGAGAATGCCTCTCTGCTGGCGGATGGGAGCAGCGGCGCTATGGCATTCATCTGCACTGCTTTGTTGCTTCAGCAGAACAATGAAAAGGTGGCTAAAGCAGAATCTGACTGTCAGAGTGCCTCCGCTGTGCGCGATTCAGGCTGACAGGATGGTGACAGCATCTATCTGGTTCGCAATAATGCTAAGCTCAGTCAAAATCATTGCAGGCATTTAGCCAGAGACAGATGTCACTGTGAAGAGATCATCGTCCCTGGTCTTCTTTTTCATTGAACTTACAATACATGTGACGCGTTCTAAAAGCATTGTTAGAGTGAAGGTTGGTTTGAGACCTCTTTTGTGCCAGTACAATGACAAAAAAAGAAGAAAAAAATTCAAAAATGTAACAAATAAAATTCAGTTTTTGTCAAAATTTTTGGTTTATAGATTTCTGCTTAATACTTGTATATTTTTAAAGGAAAATGGAAAGATTAAAATTTAAAGAATGGCTTTTTTAAAAAGCCTATTAAAAAAATTTCTCATTATTTGTCCAAACCTAATATGAGTACTTGAACTTGATCTTGGATTTTTAATATCATTCTTTTTTAGCATAATCTTTCCGCTTGTCTTTTTGCTATTGCCCCCTTCCATGAGCACCATTGGTTTGAGGATTATCGACAGCACTCGTGTTATCGTCTTTTTTGTTTTTCCTTATAAGCATATAGCATTTTTCTTCCCATGACAACTTTTCTGGGCTCAGAAAACACTTTTAAAAAATGACACTTTAAATTGTAAAATGAAAACTCCAATAGCCAATGTGCAATATGAATTAGAAAAAACAGCAAATGCCGCTTAATAAATGACGAGGATGATTGGAAATTAATTAGAAGTCATTGTGTGGATTTATTAATGGAATTAAATCCCACATTTTGATTAATTTGTGCAAGTTTAAAATTATTCAACACCTTTTGTTCCAAACTTAGTGAAGCTAAACAACCTAGTCGTCCAAATTTGCTGTCCTCTGAGCCGGATAACTAACTTTAGTCTTGCAAAGAGAGACTCCTAACCTGCAGGTCCTGCAGCTGGGGTCGTGGCTCGAGTCGAGTTCAGCTTGAATGATTTTGGTTTTACAGCACTGTGTTAGAGTAAAGGTAATGAATATATTTGTGGCATAGCCTTGTGGATGGTCCGTACTCGTCTCACAGCAGGCTGCACATAAAGACCAAGTTATGCGTGGGTTGGTGTTTTTAATGCACCTTAACTTTAAACTGTGTGAGCCTTAGGAGGTGGGGTAGATGTAAGTTTCTTCATTTGTAAGAGAGACGGACAGAGAAGATGGAATGTGTACCAGTAATTGCAGCAGAGCTGAGTACAGACTCTTTCAACTTATTTTTAAATTAGTTTACAGGTTGTGGGTCATCCCACATACCACTAAGACCAAAGTGATCTCCAGCTCAGAGGATGACTCATTTGATGAATATTAGGTTATAGCTTGCAGTCGACTTTATTGCATTTTGTGCACAAATACATCAAAATCTGGGGTGAATTTTATTTCTTGCCTCTACAACAGGATTTCAAGTGTTCAGGATAGTCAAGGCCTTTAAATACTATATATTAATCCCCCAGGGATATTGATTCCCCCAGGGATCAATAAAGTATTCTGATTCTGATTCTGATTAATCGCAGGTAAGGTGAGACCACCTGTCTTAGACATTGAACCTCCTTTTTTATCTAAGATATCCTCCCTTAAACTGCCCCCTTCTGTCCTGATGCAAATGTTTCCACATCGTCACATTTGATGTGACCTTGAGACACTTAAACAGGTGTCTCCAGGTCCACAAACACATGCTATATCAGCTGGCATTTGTTTTTTCAAACATAGAGGTACCCAGCAGTCAGATAGAAAACCGTGCAACCTTAAGACCACTGAAGACAGGTGTGTTCTCATACAGTAGTGAGAGCCGGGAAACATGCTCACACACACACACAGAGCACTTTCCAGGACACGACAGACTAATATGGTGTTGGGTCTCCATTTGCTCTAGAAACAGTCTCAATTCTTCACAGATCAGCAAACACCGGTGTTACACACAGATTTTCATGTTTATATTCAATGAGCACACACAGCTCCCCTGAGCAAATACTATTATGTGGAAACACAAACTTGGCAAACATGTGATCAATAAATGGCTTTGATCAACATTTAACTCTTGTGAGGGAAAGGTGAGATTGATTCCGAGGACATCTGTCATAATTAAAACTGCATAACTGCGTATTGTGTTGTGTGCGTGTGCGATGCACATGTGTGTGAGGTGAACTTGGCTCCTCTATCGTGCCATAAATCATGAAATACTGGCTGTGTTCCCTGAGGCGAGCAAGCCCGTATATCTCACACACACAGACTTCCCCTTCAGTTTCAATCATAAGTACTTCAGAGCAGCAGACAGAGTGAGCTGAAAATAAGTCAAATTAAAACTAATTCAAGCTAATTCATTTCAATTAAAGAAGACTGAAAAGGGGGGGAGGAGACAAAACAATTGTTAAATGGGGAAGATAAGTCTCTGTAATACTGTGCATGATAGTTGAGCTCTATTCCAATTCTGGGGAGTGTCTCTATGAATATGTCAGTCATGTTTTTAAATACCTAGCGAATTATTTATGACTGACAAATACACTAGCATGCATTCCAGACAAGCTTGATATGGTGCGTACACTCTTTAAAATCCAGAAGAGCTTTGAAAACGTCTCTGTGGTGTTCTCTAAGTCGACGAGGTCTTTGACTCGTGCTTCTTTTCTTACTTATTTCTTTTCTTGTCTGTATGAAGACGACTCTGTATATAACAGCCCCAAACAGTGAAACAACAATGCTGCTTATCACAGATGGAGTCTCCAGCCTCTAATCTCACTGGACTTTCCCAGTCGCACTATTGGTTATTACAACTGAAGCACTGTATGTTTCTACATGCTTTGTTTCTAAGGAAACTGAGTTGCGGCTTGGCATCAGCGGGGGGTTTCCTTGGAAAATAGAGAGCATCGGAATCGTAAGACCTCAAATTGTGTTGTTTTGTAGCAGTAATCCTCTCTGTGTATAAATTCAGCTGTGACGGGAAAGTTGTGAAGCGACCTCGCTGCAGTTCCCTCTTCCCCTTTCTCTCTTATTTTCTGTTGTGTCATCCCTCTGTGTGTGTGTGTGCAGGGGAACATACTCACCTCAGTACAAAGTAAGCAAGCAACATGCGGGGTACAAGGAGACACACACACACAAACACACAGGCACAGCTGCAGCAATACTTGTAGACTCCTGTCAGCCCTGCCCTGCCTGACCCACTTTGGATGTTTCTAGAATAGGAGAAGGGCTTTTCCAGCCTACAAAGGAAAAACCCTTCTCGCTTGTGTTGTCATATGAAAGGCGATCAAAGCAGCGTTCTCACTCCTTTCCTATTCCTCCTTCATCAACAACATCGCTGACATCTCATCCAATAACTCAGCACAGACACTGGAGGCTGACTGATGACGCACTGCTCTGTCCTGTCAACATGTGCTTGAATAAACAGCCAGGGAGCGGGAAATCACTCATCTCAGCTGGCTTTTTAGATCACGTATAGGGTAATCTAATGTAACGTTATCTAATAATTAAGGGATCTAATCTGGCGGGAGATAATTAGAGCCACAGCAGCGAGATTATAGGCAAGTCCAAGCCACGTGTGCCCCCGGCTCGCTTACTGGGTTTGAGTGTAATAGGATTTATAACTCCCATCTAATCCCCTAAAAAATTATGGCGATCACTGGCTCTGTATTTGCTATCAAAAAGCATGGATTTAAAATTAAAGCTGATATGAAGGACGGCAAACAAAATGCTTCCACGCAGCATATCCCCCGAGGTACTGACAGATGTCAGGGAGCCACATCTGTGCGGCTTAATGATCAACTGCAACAAAACAAGCTCAAATACAAAGTGCCAACTGATCATTTTCTGTACGGAGAATGCTCAGGCTTTGATACACACTGTAAGTCAATGCCAATCAATGCAGCCCATAGTGTCTGACTCACAAGATCAATATTTAAACCCAAAGGGAATACTAGACTTAGGGATTCCTTTTAATTCACCCCAACTCCCTCATTCTGACACATCTGAGAAGGAATTTGAAGCACCACAGTCTGTTTAGGCTCAGCTGTCAGAGCCCAGTGTTTTTGTCACCTGGGAAATGACGACAAATGTGTACGTCCGAGCACGTTAGCGCAACCTATGTGATCAGTGGTGCATTTGGGTTTTATTCGCTGGCAAAGAAACATCTTTTCAGGGTTCAATATTAAATTAAGTACAGCAAACAAGTCATTAGTCTTCCTAAGCTTTGTGCTCTCATGCTAACACAGTGGAAAGAAGGAAAGAAGGGAGAGAAGGAAAGGAAGTGTCTGAGAAAGAGAGAGAGAGATGAAGCAGTGAGAACAGTAACAGTGGCAGGGAGCACCCCGGCAACAACGTCGCATATCAGTCGATAGAGATTTTCCCAGTTCATGTGAGACTGAAATTAATGAGGTATTTTCCCCATTAGGGCCTTTAATCAGAACGAGTACAGAAAGAAAGGAAAGGAAAACAGTGTTTGTTATAACGAGACACTCAAAACTAAGGAGAAAACGGCCATTTTAAAGGAGCTTCCCCCTCCTTGAATTCTTACTTTGATTTTATGTGAAGTGTCCCTCATCTTCCGGGCAGACTTGTGACACAGTTCACCAACACTTGTGCTTTAGCTGTTACTGTGGATTACCGTCACTTATTTGAAATTCAAGAGGCCGTGTGTTGCTCCAGAAAATGGCCGATCCAGGTGTGATGTTGTCATTTTATGCTTGCCAGTGAAGGCTGACTTGGCATCTACATCTCTGCACTCAGAGCAGACTGAAGCACACGCCGCCCCAATGAAAGGAAACACCAGCATACGGGCCCTTGTATTGACAGATGTGGACAGCGTCATCTGTCCACATCTGTGATCTGCGAGGGCTTCTGGATGCTGTTGACAATTTCAAATGAAAAGATAGATGCGCCACAAGCCAATTCGGAGGTGACACAAGAGGACGGACAATTAAATACACACACAGACAAAAATGGGGCAGCCACACATACACATCCCACCACATGCACACTGTGGGCAGACGCAGAAACAGCAGCCTGGAGGATAGCTGGTTATACCCTTCCATTCTCGTGCACCCTCACCCATGGCCAGATGTGTCCTCTACGGGCTATTATACGGATCCTCTTTCATCAAAGCCATTTTAATACATGTAATCACTAAGGGCTGGTGAAGCAGACACTTCATGGTGTTGTTCTGCTCCAGTATGAACAGAGAGACTCAGCAATCAAAATGGCTCTCTTTGTGGACAAGATGAAAGAGTAAACGCTGCTTCCGTGCACATAAAGAGGAAACAAATGCAGCTTGCCAAGAGGGTTCAATCTGTTGGAGTTAGAGCATGTGTGGTGCAACAGGTCTGATACCTGATGATTCTGAGAGAAACATGCAGCTGCTTTCAATCATTCACTAACAAGGGGGAAATGACCGGAGTCATTTTCTCCCTAAATGAATTACCCTCATTTCTTTTTCTAAGGGAAAACACTATTAGTGATTCCAGCAGTGAGCTAATTGTTGATATTGCTCTTTTAGCAATCCCAGGTTGCCACTTTACAGCCAAGAAATGTTCATGACGTGTTCATAATTGCACGGAATATCATTCGGAACAAGAGGGGAGGCCACTGGCTTTGGAAATTGAAGAATTATGCTAGGATGGTGGTGGGGGTGGAGGAATTATGTTTGAAAGGAGTAATCTCCATTCCAGCGATACTGACCTTTTACTTGCATAGAAATGAGTTTCATTTTGGGCTTCTTGTAATCTACTTATGTACAGCAGTTCAGCATATTCTGTATGTGCTTCATGGCGATCAGACCCCTTTTTAGAATCACAGAGGTGACAGCTACGTAAACCTGTCTAAACCATTTGGTACAACTCGTCAGGAGCCCGTCAGCTACCTGGGTCTGCATAGAAATCAGAGGAATGTTGGTTATTTTCAACCAACTCGACTACATACACAAAACATGGTGCTCTGTCTTCTCATAATCAACTTTAACTTTTTTTTTTGGAGCACAAAGGTTTAACGTGGCAAATGCGTCTAATAAATAAAAAGCAAACATTATTGACTCGCCTCCTCGCTGCCCTGGCTCCAAGGTTGTTTTTTTTATAGTGCAGTCCTAATTAAGCGATCAACCAGTGGTTGAATGTATGCACATGTTTACACTGAATACACACTCTGAAGTTCCCAGACCTTGTCTCCGTAGTCTCCTCTTCCTGAGGCCGAAGATGCGCACTTTGGAGAAGATGTCGACCAGGTTCCCATTGCAGAGCCCCTTGTTCTTGTTGGGGCTCTTTCTCCGTCGGTTGGTGGAGGGTCGGTCTAAATGCTGCTCCCGTGCCTGTCTTTTCTGTCTGATCAGCCCACTTGCGATAGCAGCAGCCATGGCTCAAAATGTCACAACTGCACAGGTCCAGTCTGCACTCGGAGCACGGACTATTCAAACAGCCGCCTCTCAGAGCTCGCAGCCCGGGTCACAGTCCCATGGTGGCGGCTATGTGGCTCGTTCCGTTATGTCAAATGCCAAATAAATATTTCTAAAAGCTGGCTTTCCTTTTTAAAAAAATCAAAAAAATCAAAATACTACATGATAATTAGGGGATTAAACCAGCTGTCACTATAACTCGAAAAATTCTTGAGCATGGTGGAAAAAAATTAGATCAGTTCATGCGTAATTCAGCACATCAGTGACTACAGTCTTGATTCCGAATATTTCCGAGGATTATTCATACCTGTGCTGTGATGTGTTTGTTCATTGTCTGTGAAATAATCAGCAGCATCGCCTCCTTAAATGTCCAGCACGGGCTTCCTCGTCCGCTCGGTGAAATCTCACCTGCTCTTTCCTCCTTTCACACTCCGTTTTTTCCCCCTCTCCTTTTGCCAGACGAGATTGCTTTTTTTGAAGTCAGTCTTTAGTCTGCGGTGGGGACGCCCGTGCATGTGCGCCGCCAGCAATTAAACAAACACAGGCGCCTCCTACGAAGATCACAACCCGTCTCAAGGCACAGCAGCTCGGGGCGAATCCAGCTCCCAAGTTTGCAAGAAGCAATCGGCGACAGGGACCCCGCGATGACCGAACGAGAGAAACACAGTTGGGAATACAGAGGAACGCGCAACCGAGCCAGAGTTGTTATGTGGAATTAATACCAAGTTATTTTCCAACTACCAGTCGACGTGTCGGCTAGTGTTCACAACACAAGCGACTGGGCGCGATAGGATCCAGGGAGGGAAAAACATACCCAAAGCTGATCCTGCATGTGGAGATGACGTCTGCATTGTGTGACAAGCTGCATACAAATACATTAAACTTAAACCCCCCGGCGACCAGCACACAATTCGACCCAGTGCATGTTCACAAAAGAGCCCACTGCGAGGAAAACGAATGCATAGCGATCAGTGCGCAGTGGGAATAAGGGAAGAAAGTAACACCACAGACAAACGGCGCAATTTATTTTCCAACGCTGAAAGAAAAAAAAAAAGAAATGTGGGGTGGGGGTGGACGGGGTAGGAAGTGCTTGTTTATATGCCCCAGATCAACAAACGTTTCCCATCAACAAGTCCTAACCACTCGTTAGTGCACGACTTGAAGAGGTTGCACCCCCTCCCACTTCCTCCCTCCTGACAACCGAGCCCCTGCTTGAAGAGAGAAAGTGTGTGTGTGTGTGTGTGTGGGGGGGGGGGGGGGGGGGGGGGGGGGGGTCTGAAGCCGTTAGATAGTAGCATTTCAGTTTTTAACGCTTTAGTTTGGACTCTTTAGAAAGCTACATTCCCTTTACCACTCATGTGGAAATAAGAAAGCCAAACGCGAGGGGACAGTGTGCCATTATGAACTCCCTTTCACCTCATTATCACAGGACAGTCCATATATTTCCACATGTAGTGAGTGGATTACTGCTACTCTTCTTCTTTGTTATTTATTTATTTATTTTGCTCCATCTCATGAAACCTGTTTATGTTGTTCTAATTAAGATCGATTCAAGTCGCGCGCTCCATTTGCTGTGTGCGCCTTCAGCACCAGGGACAGCGTCTCTGATTTCTGCACCATCATGGAGGTGGGTCGCGAGTGTGGGGGTGTCATTTCTTCAGTCGGTTATCATAACCTTTACTTAAACGTCCACGAGCCACGAGACAGCGCGAATGCCTCCGGTAAATCACGAGTAAATGAGAGAGACTCCACTCCACTCACGACCCGCATGTGAATTTAAACGCTGACCGAGACGTCTCTGATCCACGCAATAAATGCCAGGGCGAGGTTGAGGCGTCTGATCCTTTTCGTTGATTTGGGGATAAATATCATCCAATTCTCAATCACAGGCACAGAAATTAAAACTCAAGAGAGCCATCTGCTGTTTGTGGCTGTAATTAAAGAGCCTGGCTCACGGGGGACTAAAGTGTTGTACTGAATAGCTCTGATGTGCGTTCACAACACACACAAACACATGCACACACACACATGCACACACACACCTGTTGATATCCAGCAGATGTACACATATAAGATTGACTAAAGTGACAAAGGAACGGGAAAAATGTGTGAGGACAGATGAGCAGGTTTATAACAGCTGGATGAAAGCGCTGTTAGTGATTTAAAAAAAAAAAAAAACACGAATTCCGCTTTAAAATGTTCTTTATAGATCACATAGGTTCACAAAAGACATTCAACCCGCTATGCGTGGGCTTGTGTGCTTTTCCCCCGACCCCTCATCCCACTAGATTGAGCACATATCGTGGGTGCATTAAAAGTTTATGTCCTAGGAGCCTCCTGCTGCTGCGGTGCTCTGAGAGACATGCAGTTAACGCTCCAACCAGCAGCGGACACTGTCAGCTCAACAATGGTCCCACAGCAACTTTGCAGAGCGGCACTGTCACCGTGACGGTTATGAATCGCAGAGGGCTTCTACTTAAGCTCACACATATAATGGATTTTCTTTATTCCTCTGGGTTACATCGCCTGACTGCACAAGAAATATGCATCTTCCCCTTTGAGTATATATATATATATATATATATATATATATATATATATATATATATATATAGGGAGGCTGGTGAACTATAGCCTTTCCACTTTCAGTCTCACAGCATGGGCATAATATACATGAACAGCTTTTTCCTCAAAGCACATAAATTCACATGTGGAAGTCTAGTCAGAGACAACACTGTGCAATCTAGGGCAGTTCTTTCCTTTAAGCTAAACACAGCAGTGGTTGCAAAAAAGCATCGAAAACCCCGTCAAACAGTCGAAGAGTAAAACAAAAGCGCACTTACCTACATTTTTTTTCCGTCTGTGTGTGAATGAATGAGGGTCCATGGCAGGCCCATTCCAAAGACCTATAAGCCAAGTGTTTTCCCCGTGACTTCTAATACCCCATTTATACTGCACCTTCTAGGCTCTAACATGGTTACAGCAAACTGACAGTCTGCCCTGAGCTGTTCACAGTAATTTCTTCAGGAAGGCCCTAAAAGCTTCACTCATTCTTTAAGTTGGGTCACAGAGACAGGCAGTTAGATAAACAGATGTGGACACTTTGTCTGAGGCTGCCCGCAAACACAAGGCTAAATGTTGCCTCAGGCTGGAATCTGCAAGACATTAACTAACAACAGTTATAAAATACAAGGCACGCCAATGCCGGTTTTTGAACCTCTATTATTTGTGTGGCACTGAGCATAACACCGTGCACATCTGGCCTTTTTGGAAAACCCTGGAAACCAAGATTCATTCACAAAGATTCGACAAAGCAGAAGCTGCAATTAATGCAACCACAGCCTCATCAGGTCAAATCATTTAAATCCAATCTCCTCTGAGAAAATGAAATTATCTTAGTTAGATGTCCTGCTGCTGAGGCAAAGCAAATGGCAACTCACAGAGCTGAAGTAAACAACCCATTTGATTATTGCTGAGACTTTGCTTGAGGATAGTAGGAGGGGGCATGTTGTTTTATCACCTATCCTGATAGAAAAACCAGGCAGCAGGACTCAGCACTTCTGAGGCTCGACGATATAAAAGAACCTTAACTTTACAGAATGAAATTACATTGCATTATCAAAGACAGCAAGTTAATTCAATCTGAGAGGACTAATGATTTTTCCCAGCTCAGATTCATGTCATCCCTCTACCCCTCCATGTCTTTTTCTTCTTCCCCTCACTTTAGCTGTTTAATCAGGGAATATCATGAGTCCATATACTGAAGTAATAAAAGCTTAGCAAGCCCAGTTATAGACTTTAAGTATCCTACAGTGCTCGTGTATGCGTCTCATTAGTTTGGATGAGTTTAATAGTCCGAGCTAATCAGAGAGCTAAGATAGACGAGTGCACATAAAGAGCCTGTATGGGGCAGCGACTGTGGAGAAATTTTATTAAGTGGTCATGAATTAAGTGCACATACTGAAACCGTGGAGATGGGAAAAGGCCAGAAAGCTCAGGGGATCGCGAGCACATGATCATGAACAGTCTTAACTAGTTTGTTATTTTGCATGCTCATTACTGAACATTTTTGCATTTGATCACTTTGAGTGAGATTCCTTTATTAGATCGTTCACTTATGACCTGAAGAAAATTATTAAAACTATGAAAACTGTCAAATTTATTTAAAAACTATAGAATACTTTTAAACTAATTCCTTGTTTTATAAGCTTTATTTGACTTGAAGATGCCTTTGTGTTATCTTTGTATGTGCCGTCTTTTTCTGTCTTATTCGGAATTTCGTGAATGTTTGATCCTCTTTGGATCTTTGGTCCACGTTACTAAAGAATCCTCCTGTTGGTGAAGTTTTACTCTTGCTACTGGTTGAACACCATACGTCTAATGCCTCTAATGGTGGAACACACTAGAGAAGATTCATTGTGTTCATGGACTGTATTTTCGACCTGATGAAGGTCTGTGTGCCAAAACGTGTCGGAATTTTAGGTTAAATATAACCACGCCAATAATAATAAAGGTAATTTGCTTTGATCTGAAAATACAGTGCTTTGGAGTTTTAGTGATAATTTTAGTTTATATGTCATTGGAAGAATACATTGATGCACAATTGACATTGATTGGCTGGAATCACTTGTTCAGTTTTTGTTTAAGTAGTGTTCTGCAACATTCAGTGGCCTTTTGTTCCCTTTGTGGTGTCTTTTCATTTAAAAAAAACAGTCCCATTTAGCGTTTTTATTGTAGTGGACACAAAGTTTTTAGTAAGTTGTAAACATTTCTGTGTTTGCTGGTACACTTGGGTTCCATTACACATTCTTTGCAGGATGCCCGGTAATTGAAAGAATACCAACAGGGAATTTCGACCATCTGTAGACAGTTTTCTAATGGTGAACTAATGAACACCAAAGTCTTTAGAAAAGCATTTTCTTCTCTGTGTATTTCCATAATGTTTCTTTGGTCCTGTGAAAGTTGCTTTTTTTCAGCTGCTCCTTCAGGGGCTGCAGCTGCAGAAGGATCCACATGTTTGATTGGGCACAGATGTTTATGCCCTTCCTGATCCAACCCTCTCTCTGTGTCTCCTCCCGGTGTCAACCAGAAGATCACTTAACAGATGTTAAGTGAACATGTTAAACACTACACTATAGCACAACTAAAATATTAAAAGTACATACAGTGGGGCAAAAAAGTATTTAGTCAGCCACCGATTGTGCAAGTTCCCCCACCTAAAATGATGACAGAGGTCAGTAATTTGCACCAGAGGTACACTTCAACTGTGAGAGACAGAATGTGAAAAAAAAATCCATGAATCCACATGGTAGGATTTGTAAAGAATTTATTCGTAAATCAGGGTGGAAAATAAGTATTTGGTCACCTCAAACAAGGAAAATCTCTGGCTCTCACAGACCTGTAACGTCTTCTGTAAGAAGCTTTTCTGTCCCCCACTCGTTACCTGTATGAATGGCACCTGTTTGAACTCATCATCTGTATAAAAGACACCTGTCCACAGCCTCAAACAGTCAGACTCCAAACTCCGCCATGGCCAAGACCAAAGAGCTTTCGAAGGACACCAGGAAAAGTATTGTAGACCTGCACCAGACTGGGAAGAGTGAATCTACAATAGGCAAGCAGCTTGGTGTGAAAAAATCAACTGTGGGAGCAATCATCAGAAAATGGAAGACATACAAGACCACTGATAATCTCCCTCGATCTGGGGCTCCACGCAAGATCTCATCCCGTGGGGTAAAAATGATCATGAGAACGGTGAGCAAAGATCCCAGAACCACACGGGGGGACCTGGTGAATGACCTGCAGAGAGCTGGGACCAAAGTAACAAAGGTCACCATCAGTAACACACTACAACGGCAGGGAATCAAATCCCGCAGTGCCAGACGTGTTCCGCTGCTGAAGCCAGTGCATGTCCAGGCCCGTCTGAAGTTTGCCAGAGAGCACATGGATGACACAGCAGAGGATTGGGAGA